AACAATGGAAAACACACTTAGTACGCGATGCAGTCGCTGTGTGATTCTTTGTTCGTATGATTTGACAGAACCATAAGGGTGTTGCGCTAATTAGCACGTTGACGGCATTTCATTAATCATTATTTCTGCTACTGCAACCACAAAGAATCACAAAATTGTGTTCTTCTGGATTAGAAAATAATAATAAAGAAATACTCTGCTGTTTCACGGTGTATTAGCGGCAGTTGTAAGAATACGTCTGATTGATACGTGTGTGCGATGTACAAACACACTTTAAATGGGATATGACATATTACAGTTGCAAGCAGGGATCGAAACCATTCGTAGCAACGGTCTAGCCGGTAAATTCCGCTGAGGTTACGAATAACAATGGAATTGACAGCAAAAGCAGGAAGACTGCAGGCATACAACGTATAAATGTGCTTGATCGTCAAACTGTGCTTCACAACACGTTTTTCCCGAGTCAAATCACGGTTAAACCTCGCTTTGCATCAAAATGCAAGTGAAGAAAGGCACCAGAAATACTGTGAGCTACCTTAGTGCGGTATGAATGCGTTTTGTGGTGCAGATCCGTGACGTATAATTGTTAGCAAAGATGGTTTAGGTGCGCACCGTTTTGTGAGCCGTGATGGACTGTGCTATATCGCTACACCGTTCTCTGCGCATAAAGCACCGCTGTGTAAGCCATGTTATTGTGCAGCCCGCATCTGCAATGACAGATACTCTAAATACACAAACTTCATCATTGCTCATGCCAGGCAGCGCGTCCTGGCCCGTTTTCATGCATTTATTTTTTTATTTATTCTTTTTGCCCTTGCATGAACGACGAGGACGTAAAGACCAACACCTTTAACGAGGAGGGCCGCATACTGCAAGTTGAGTACGCCATAAAGAACGTGAGCAACGCCGGCACCACGCTGGGCCTTACGTGCACGGATGGCGTAGTGCTTCTCGGCATCACCACGTCAAACAAAAGTCACGTCGTGAGCCGCAAGGAAAAGATCTACAGGATCACCAACACGGTCTATTGCACGATCAGTGGCATATTCTCCGACGGGCTGCAGATCATCTCTATGGCGCGCGTCATCGCACAGGACTACCTGTACAAGAACGGCGTGGAGATGCCGCTCGGGTACCTTGTGGAGGGGATAGCGAAGAGAATGCAGTATTTCACGCAGGGCGGTGGCATGCGGCCATTTGGTGTGAGCTTTCTGTTTGCACAGGTTAAGGATGAATGCCTGCTGTACAGCACCGATCCGGCCGGTTCGTGCAATCGGTGGAAGGCAAAGGCGTTCGGCCAGAAGGAGGACTCGATCAACAACGCACTGCAGAACAATGCAGACAAGGAGTTCACATTGAACGAGGGCGTAAGGGAATGCTTTAAGGTTGTCATGCAGAAGCAGGAGATTACGGAGGCTAACGTGGCCAATTACGAGGTGATATTCATCACGAAGGACCGATCATATTTTTTGAAGGATGAGGATTTGAAGGGGATCATAAGGGAGGTGAAGGGAGATGTAGAGTAAGTAAAGGACGGATTGATGATTATTCTTGGTATTGGTGTTTGTAAGGTGATGTTGTACCGGTTTACTGGCACAGCAAGATGACCTTGTTGAGCGGGCTGCTCTAGCACCAAGCAAAAGTCTGCTCGCCGCCAGGAAGCGACACAAGGTGCAGTTCCTGCACATCAAATTTACTATTTTAGTGCTACAGTTCATCGGTATGAGATGTTCTCATGACAATGCATGATTATCGCCCGTTTGGTGCAGGGCATCGTTCCGGTCTTATACGTCAACCATGTGCACAAAGTTCCGCATCCTTCCGTGCCGAGTCAACCCCTACCAATCCAACATCGTGTGAAAAATAAAACTTACTACGGGCAAAAGCATGCTTTTTAGAAAAGCTCGGTGCAATTCAGGGGCTGTTCGTAGCCGCGCACATACTTTTTTGTTTACACATCCCCTCACAGTACTTTCCTGTCCCACGCAGCAAAGATCTTTGTAACGGCAGAACACATACCTTTTTACTGCACAGCACTCACCGTGTCCTTGGCAAGGATTTATTCATCTTCTCGTACCGTGGCATCCAGACAGCACTCACCGTGTCCTTGGCAAGGATCTATTGCACTGCGGCATTTTAGCGTGCTATATCATTAAAAGTGCATTTGTTATGATAATTGTGCAAGAATGCTCTTAACCTGCAATCAGATACGCTGCTACGTCATTAGCCATCTACGTTCAATCACATAAATTTAGTGCTGTAACGGATTTAATGTCACATACCACCTATCGCACGGCTGTGTAATAACAGCGATTGATTGTTCTACGATGTGCTCTGCCAAATTGTGAAGGGAAGGGACGGGTGCCTTACTGAGTGGTAAATGCCCCTTCGAACGATCACGGTCTTTGTGCGGTCAAGCCGCTTTCACTGTAAAAATGATTGACGAAACGCACCAAAACACCTTTTCTGATGTGCCATTCATATTTTGCTTACTAAACGAGCATTTGCTCAAAAACGGACGTTTCAAAGCAAAAGTGCTGCACGATATGCGCGTGATCCCGTTAACAACAGCACTCACTCCACTCATAAAAGCAACTCATTCGCTTATTTGATCTTCTCGTGCCCGATTTGTGTTCCATTCTTTTTGTTTTTTCCCTCTAAATTCGCGTTAAAAGAAAAAATTGCAAAGTCGCCAGGGCACAAAAAAAGAAGGAACGAGCGAAAATTAAAATGTTAAAAAAGTACGTGATTTTCTCAAAACCATACATCCTGATTGAGGACATTAAAGGAAAGCACCAGCCGTTCTATAAGGAATACGAGGACGGGAAGATACCGTGCATAGACCTGCACTCGCCTGTGCTGTGCTGTCCGTTCCTGAAGAACAAGCGGTTTAAGAGCACGAAGCGGCGCAAAGAACGAAAAGGGGGTTTCTGCGAAATATGCTATCAGAAGTACGCGAGCTACGATACGCATGTCAGGGAGCGCACCCACCGCGAATTTGCACTTGATTCGAGGAATTATAAGGATATAGACGATATCATAGACTCCTTTGCCATCTCTAATTTTGATCCTGATCTCTACTGCCCCGTTTCACCACTGTCCAGGAAGAGTGCGAGCCTGCCGATCGATTTGGATGAGAGGGGCGAGCTGATGGACTGGGAGGCCGGAAAGATGCTGGATACAATTGTGTTTACGGATGCGGGAGGATCTGAGGATGAGAAGGACAGACTGTGTAAAGCGGTATACAAGGTTGAAAATTTTATTAACGAATATTTGAATGAGTAGGGCGCGTAGCGGTAGAAAAGGAAGTAAAGTATGTGCAAAATTACGAGTTGCTGCCAGATTGGCACTTTTACAGTTTTACGTGTTTTAGGCAGTTTTTCCGTTTTATATGTTTTTGCACGTGGCGCGGTAGCACGCCTGGTGAACAAAAATACGTTTGCAATGCGGAAAAACATTTTTGTTCGTAAAAGATGAAATTACCGTTTGTTTACTCCGATCTCGAATGAATGCTGTCAATCAACGGTCCATCAAGCAGGGTCAACGTCAGCTACATCTCAAGCACGTGCTGAGATAAGTGTTTGCGCGTTCTTAGCGCATCGTAGGGCGTGTCATGGGCCCTGTCCACGGTGCAAATTTCCGCAGAGAATGGGCTGTGATCTATGGGCTTGCTGCAGTGATGATATGTGAGTGACCAGGTGATCAGGAAGTGTACCAAGGTGAGGCATTGGATGGCTCGTGTGATTCAAAAATGCTGCAGTGATGATATGTGAGTGACCAGGTGATCAGGAAGTGTACCAAGGTGAGGCATTGGATGGCTCGTGTGATTCAAAAATGCTCCTGTGATGATATGTGAGTGATCAGGAAGTACTTTTGCAGTGTGTAATAGGAGCGCGTGCAGACACCAAAAGGAAAATAATTCACCGGTCAAATATGTTTTGTCGCCTAAACGGATGCTTCCCGTGTTTAACGCACCTCTTTGCGCGCTTTCTTCTTTCGTATCGCGGGTGCGATGGTAGTGGATCACCAGAAAATGTGTTGGTGCACAGCCGTCACATCCCTCGAACGGTAGTCCACATCCCTTGAATGATGCACCATTTCATTGCCACACGAATGATTTGCATGTACGCCTGGTAGTTGTTGATCTGGTACGAAGCAGCTCGTTGTACGTGCCGGTCATCGTACGATTCAATTGAAAATATTTGCGTGTCCTAGCGAATATTTTGTGCCAATAAACGTGCAAGCACCATATTCCGTGTTAAACACGCTTTTGAGCGCATGTCCCTCTTTTACCACGCGTACGAACTGCTAAACCGAGCCAAACCAAGCATGTTCATCAATGCAGGACCATTCGCACGCAAATAAACGATTTTTGGTAAAAAAGCACCAATCATGCATCTCAAGCATTCATCCACAATAATCCAAAATGGTGAGTTTGAGAATCGAGGCGGGAATAGCACCGACCAAGGTACAAAAGATAAAAAATTTGAAAAGTTATAAAAACTACGCACACAAAAAATACAATGGAGGGTTGTCGCCACCTCACAAGCCATAAAAAACACAAAGAAAAATACTCAAAAATTGTTGGCTGCAAGAAACGGCTTGCATGCACTGTTTGTGGATCAAATTTTAATGTGCATACGTGCCTGACGTGTGAACGAATGTTTTGTTTTTCGGGTCACTTGACGCATGGGCATGTGCGGGGAGAGCAGACGGTTAATGTGGATGGATGCGGGCAGGGAGAGCAGACGGTTAATGTGGATGGATGCGTGTGGGGAGAGCAGACGGTTAATGTGGATGGATGCGGGCAGGGAGAGCAGACGGTTAATGTGGATGGATGCGTGTGGGGAGAGCAGACGGTTAATGTGGATGGATGCGGGCAGGGAGAGCAGACGGTTGGTGCGGATGGATGCGTGTGGGGAGAGCAGACGGTTAATGTGGATGCGGAGCAGAGGAGAACGAGCAGCACAGATGTAGAAAACGGCGCAGAACGTGACAGAAAGGACGAAAGTACGCGGTTATCAGCTATAGACGATGTAAAAATGGGTGAGGATGAGCGTGAACGGGCGATAAGTGACGGAGAAAACATGGAAATGGAGGGCCTGGGAGAAAAAGATGCAGCAGAAGCTGTGGATACCGGCAATAACACGGGTGAACATGCTAAGACAGTGGGAAAAAGAGGATCGAGCGGGCCGGACAGCAGCAAAAGGACACGTATGACCAGCACATGCACGCTGTTCGTTAACAAACGGTACGGCTGCGTGTACTGCCTGGAGTGCCGGAGATACCTTTTTTTCACGAAGCTGCTCGAGATATTTACCAACATCAGGTACCGAATAAAAAATCAAAAAAACTACTCGCGAATGCACTGCTCGTATTCGAAAGGGATCATAAACCTGGGCAACACATGCTACATCAGTTCGGTACTGCAGGTGTTCTTCAATACCGGTGCCATAAAAAAGTGCTTCTTCGACACTGCACACGAGAAGGTGTTGTGCAGGGGCGAAAGGTGCATCGTGTGCGCACTCAAAAACATGTACATGGAGTGCTACAGCCACCACGGTTTGATTGTGCCGAATGAGTTTCTTCACATCCTGTGGTCGATATCGTCGATGAACTACAGCTCACGCCAGTTCGATGCGCACGAATTCTTTTTGGATCTGTGCGAACTGCTGCACAAACACTTTTTTGTGAGCTCGGGCACTGGGCGAACGCGCGTGGACGAGAACACGCCGTCCGAGTGCACGTGTATCACTCACAGGGCCTTCTGCGGAGTGCTCAATTCTACGCTGACGTGCACAAGGTGCAGCTGCAAATCGGTCAAGGAGGAGAAGTTCTACAGCGTATCGATCGGCATACACAACCAGAAATCGGTGAATGATGCGCTGGTGCACTTCTTCACCGAGGAGAGCCTGGCCGAAACCATCCTATGCCAGCGCTGTGAGCAAAAGGAGCCTTTTCTGAAGGAAATGAGCGTTGTTCGTCAGCCGCCAATCCTCGTGTTGCACCTGAAACGATTCCAAATGAACAAAAACGATCCGGTCAAGGACAACTCGGTGCTCGAATTCACTCATCTTGTGGAGTGCCGCACGCTGAAGAACGACGCATCCCGTGCCTATAGACTGTTTGGGATGGTTTGCCATGTGGGCACCTTGGAGTACGGCCATTATTTTACCTTCCTGCGCATCGAAAACAGGTGGAAGCGGTTCGATGATGAGCGGATCACCGATGTGGATGAGAATGAGATGTGCGATTGCTCGCCCTACATCTTATTCTACGAGTTGGAGTAGCAAAAATAAATGTGCATACGATACAGCTTTGTAATTTATGGCCTTTGTTCTGAACACGGGCTTAACGCAGGATTTTACTCTTTGGTTATTTTTGCAGGTCTGTCCGGTTGTGACAGCAACGAGCCGCAAACCCGTAAACGTGCCATTCTTCGGCAATAGTGACGTGTCAGCAGAAAAACACCGAAAAAAAGTGCTACGTTCTAAAATTGCTGGACCGGTGCACAACCGGCCCATTGAAACACGAAATGAAAGAGCTGTGCTTTTCTTTCGGTAGGTAAACTACTATTTGGCAGAGAACAGGCATGTCCATGGATTTAAAACGCGTATTAATGAAAATAGTGGTTTTATACTTTTAAATACACGGCATTACGCTTTTCATTGGTTTTAAAGTGTTATAGCAGGTCTATTGGTCAGAGTTAGGCGTATTATCATCAAAATCTGAGTGAAATGCCATTCACCGGCCAAGAGAATGGCTTACGCTAAAAAAGGCTCATAAAGCGTGCATGGCGTATTCTCAGCTGCCATTGCATTGCAAACGAGTATTAATTGTGCAGTGTAATTCTAGTGGTGGTGATTGAACTGTTGTGAAAAAGGTTTTCTTGCGGAACAAATCGCATCACTCCATTTTCCGTTGATTGTCGAGGCCCAGCCACCAATTCAGAGCGATATGCACAACAAAAAACTGCTATGAAACAAAATACGAGTGGCGATAAAAACAACAAAACGTGTATTTTGCATGCTAAACATTAACACTCTACGGATTGCGGGAATAACCAAATTTAAAATAGATTTGATACCGCTATAGTTACCGGTGGTAAAGAATTATTGCATGGTTCCTGGTATCATTTGATGTCCGATGCCATTTTAACTTCCATAAAATTTAATTTGCCTCATTGCAAATTACCAAAATGGATTGCGCCATATCACCTGTTCCTCAAGGCAATCACGTGTTGCACGGCCTATAAACGAATTAACCCGCTCGTATTAGCTCCGGCAGTTGTCAAATATGCGATCTGCCCAATTCCATGAACAGAGTTGCACGTAATAATTGAAATGTTATGTTACTCAGATCATTTATCAATTTACAAACCATGTGTTTCATATGTTGCTCTATACGTACCACAAACTTGCAAGCAATGTTTGGCGTACTGCTCTACCTGTCGATTGCGGTAGGTTCTAATGAAGAGAAGCCTGAGCATCACGAAACGTACAAGAAGGCTGCTGTTACCACCGAAGTGCCGCTGTGCTCTGACTTGGGAGTCGATATAATGCGACTGGATGGAAACGCTGTTGATGCTGCCGTGGCTTCTGCAATATGCGTGGGAATCATTAACTCGTTCTCGTCGGGTCTTGGTGGTGGTGGTTTCATGCTGATTAAGCTGCCAGGCAATCAGAACGAAATAGTCACAGTGGATTTCCGGGAAACGGCACCTTATAATGTAAATTTGCAGGACTACAAGACGAAGAAAGACATGTCAAAGAAGGGCGGAAGTGCCATTGCCGTGCCGGGTGAGGTGAAGGGGCTTCATTACGCACATTCGAAATACGGCAAGCTGCCTTGGAAACTTCTACTCGAGAAGAATGCTGCCATTGCCGATAATTTCGAGGTATCTGACCAGCTGCACAGGAGGTTGAAGAAGCTGAAGAAATTTATCCTTCGTGATGCCGGACTAAACGAAATATACACGCAAAACGGTGACATTGTACAGCCTGGTACCATGATACAGCGAGCAAATTACGCACAGACACTGCGCAAATTGGCTCTGAATCCCGAATCGTTCTATTCGGGAGACATAGCCGAACAGATAGTAGCTGCTGTTCAAAGTCAAGGAGGCAGGCTAACAATGCAGGACATGCAAAAATACGAGGTAAAAACGCCCAAACCGCTTCAATCAACGTACAAAGACAGTATCGTTTTTACCACGAACCTACCGACCGCAGGTCCACTGGTGATTGAGGCCCTTAACATTTTGGAAAGCTTTGATCTCAAGGAGCTGCGAGACATAGGAACAGAGCACGGCATTTTTCCTGAGTACCACCTTCTTGTAGAGATTTTCAAGTTCATGTCAGCGAAACGGAGTGAACTGGGCGATCCAGAATTTGTACCCGAGGCTCAGGAGGTAGCCGAAGAACTCATCAGCAAGGAACATGCCAAAAAAGTATCGGAAACGATTAAATTTGATAGAACACTTTCGATGGAGGAGTATGGATATGAGATCCCGCCCACAAACGATCACGGAACAACACATTTAAATACATACGATGAGCAAGGCATGATAGTGCTCCTAACATCTACCATAAACCTAGAGTTCGGTGCCAAATACATGGATCAGGTCACAGGAATTGTTTTTAACAATGAAATTGATGATTTTTACGTGCCGTTTGTGAAAAATGCGTTTGATCTGCCCGAATCACAGGCAAACATAATAAAACCGGGCAAACGGCCATTTTCATCCGCAGCACCTGTGCTGCTTATCAAATCAAACCAGATAGTGGCGCTTGGTGCTGCTGGTGGAACGCGCATACCAACATCGATTATTTCGGCAGTCTTTCACCTCGAGCTTGGAAAAACACTTGCCGAGGCGGTGGCAGAGCCCAGGTTGCATCATCAGATGATACCGTACGTTACGTATGTAGAATACAATCTCAACCACGACATTGTAAATTATCTTAGTAAGATAGGCAATGAGGTTAAGGAGTCATCAACCAATTCTATTTTTACATCTGTGCAGGGAATGGTGATTAGAAGAGACCCAGAAATGGTTGTCGAAGCATACAGCGATAGACGAAAGGGTGGTGTAAGTGCTGGATACTAGTAAACCTACATTATCGCATATAAACTGCGGCATATGTGCGTTCTTCTGAATTGCACATTTCATTTTATTTCAGTTCTGAGCAACACGCGATCGATCTAGCGATCAGTTTTAGGCGGTGTAACTTCGAATATTTACCCTGCGGATCGGTGTTAGGTGATGGACCCACTTTGAGAACAACTTAAATCACGTTAACACTGCTTGCTGCATTTTGAGTGTGAACGTGCCGTGTTTTTTGACTAAGTCTTGGCGCAAGAACGAAGGGAGG